CAATTTTCCGCTAAAGAAAAAAAAACCTAAGAAATGTCACCTTTTCCGACCGAGTCACCCTGACACATGACACCAAGACGACCGCCCAGCTTGTAGGAAGACGCAGATCAAATATGAGACGTAGATTAAATACGACAGAGACGAGAGCACTGAGACGTACACGTATTCGGTCTCAACATATGTTTGTTTACGATCCACCTCTCTTATCAAAAAAAAAAAAAAAAAAAACGTAATGGAAATGGCTTTTCAGTTCGATAATTATTTACAAATAAACGACGGCTAATTCCGAGGAAAAGAACATTTTTTTAAAGGTACTAAAAGTTATAAACATTTTACTCTTTCGTATCTAGAGAATTTAACAGTTTAGAATTGTTTTGCTTGTTTCTTCAGAAAAGGAATCTGTGTCTTTTCACGGACACACGCACAAACAATTTTAAGGGTCCATGGAATTATAATTTATTTCTTTAAGACCGAGATTTTGGTCCTAATTCTTCAGACAAAATATGGGAGACAAATTTTTCCAGTCTTGTATGAAAATGAAGATCTGAAGAAATAAGACAAAAATCCCCTGTTCTAAAGAAATAAATTATAACCCCATGAACCTCTGAAGTTGTCTGTTTCTTAATCTAATTAATATTTGCTCTGTTTTTACCTATCTACGTATCTATTGAAATTGTGTATATATTTATATATACATATATATATAGTTAGTTAGTTAATGAAGTCATTTGGTTATCCGTTTGAATAATTCAAGGAGGATGTAATCCACAGAGCTCAATGCAAACACAGAGAAACTGGAAAAATTTATCACCCATATTTTTTTATGAAAATGGATAATTGAAGAGTTAGTACAAAAATCCCCTGTTCTAAGGAAATAAATTTTAATCCCATGAGCCCTTAAAATTGTATGTTTCTTGATATAATTTATATATACATACATATATATGCGTGTGTGTGTATGTATAGGACAACCAAAGTCAAACAAATACCACAATTCAAATATTTAGATAGCAGAGTATGAAAAATGGGGTACTCTAATCCGAAAGTTCATCAAGATAGCGAAAGTTGATAGGATGATGAAAAACATCGGTTTTGTGATCCTCTTATTTACTTATATATTTGAATCGTTTAATTTTGTAAAGATGAGTCTGTCTACAAATTTCTTCCTTTGAGAAAATACATAACATCAACTTTATTGCTTTATTTGGTGGGTTATCGTTTTAGCAGGGAAAAGATTCGAAAATTGGGGGAGAGGTCTTTTTGTCAGTTTCACAATATTTGTTGAACGTTTTTTTCATTTCTTGTTCTTGTAAGTAAATAAATAGTTTTATTGTTGAGTAGCCATTTCTTCTTTCTTTTTAATTTCATTGTTTTTCATTTTCATTCTCATTTTTTTCCTAACATTCTTTCTCAAATGTTTCTACCCAATTCGATGGGCAAAATACGAATTTCTTTTTTTTAACGTTTTTACGATTTCCCTGTCAAAAATGCACATTCGTTATTTTATTTCATACTTATTCAAGAGAGCGAAATATTTTCCTTAACAGTTATCAAATGCAAGGTATCCATTAAATTATTTATATTATTTCTTTCGGAATTAATATACTCATCTTCAGGATGTCATAATTCAGACAAAAACATTTTATGAATTCAGGTTTAAACAATATTCATTCAAGGCAATTAAGTTTTAATATTTCTGCTCTTACGGTGTGTGTGGTGGAGGTTATAATTTGCTAAAACCTTTCTACACTTCATGTTACAAAATATGCTGGTTAAGAATTTAAATTAATAAATGTTACAAAAAAATGAGATTAAATAGTTTCATTATTGCTGAGAGATACTGATGTTTTTCTTGTTTGTTATCACAAGATTCTTCGAGCTTTGAATTAAATTGCAACTTCCTCCAGACGGGACTTGAACTCTTACCACAGGCGCTTCATATTCCATGTAACTATTCTATTTTGTTTATAGCTTCGTGGAAAATATTAAAACGCATTTTCTGTTTTTCTTCGTCATTTTGAATTCTCTCAAAATCTCTTATTTTATGTCGATTAAATCACACCGACAACATAACATTGCTATTATGATGTTTGTTTCTACAAAATACGTCTGTCATTATAGACATACATCTAAATCTGTATTTACTAAGCAGTTCCTTGTATTACATGGATAGACATTCATTATTTGAAAAATTCCGAAAAACTACCAGACGTTAGCCTCCTTCAAATTGTGTCTGTTTCTCTTAATTACGTTTGTTTGGAAACTGTTTCTTTTATGTTTATTGTCATTGATGTTTAAGAATAGAATAAAAAGAAATAAAATATGGTTGAATTGTTCAAAGCTATAAACATTTCATATTTTATTCGTGCCTGATGTTTTTGAATTTTTTATTGAAAAGTGAAAGATAAATGCATTTTTAGTAATAGTATTAGTAGATGAACTGAAATTTAATAATATTTTAGCGATATTTGAAATCCAATTCAAAAACATTTTCGCTGTGATATTTTTCAATGTCTCTATTGTTATTCCAGAACATCTGTTTCTTTTATTTTCCATTTTTTTTTCAAAATTGTCTGATTATTCCTTGTCTACCTCCATTTTAGTTTTCAAAATTTAATTACGGAAGATCGTAGTTAACAGTAAAGCAAGAAGCCAGAAGAGAGTTTCACAAGCGACTAGTTCGAGAGAAGAAACCATTTGAAGAGAACTTACGGTTACAATTAGCAATTTAATTAGTAAAAGGATGAGAGACCTTATATAGTAATCTAGTTTTACACTTAAATTCATGAAGTCAATGTAGTCCAAAATAAAAGCTCATCATCTTTTCAATTGCCTTGAAAATATTTATAGACAAATCATTAAGAATCCATGGGAAAGTTATTAAAGACTATATACCAAATCAAAACCGATAATACTACGCATATATATATATATATATATATATATATATATATATATATATATATATAGGGCTCTCCGTCGATTTCGACGTATGAGGATCTGACAGCTTATTGATTCAGTTATGAAAGTTTTTGCGATAATCTTAAGCGGCATTTAAGACCCGCTAGTGATTTACAAAGGAGGCCACATATGGAGCAATATATATATATATATATATATATGAAGAAATATAGTGTTAAGCTGTGCTATATTTATGGGATAAAGTGCTCAATATCAAGGATAGATGTAAATATAAAAGTGAGCATTGAAGTCAACACTCAGAGGCAACAGGCTGTTTCATGCTAGACGCAATCAACAGGACTGATGATTGCGTTTAGCATGAAACAGTCTGTTTCCTCTTAGTTGACATCAATGTTCACTTTATATATATATATATATATATATATATATATATGTATGTGTGTGTGTGTACTCATTTTGTTAAATTCATCCGACATGTAAGATTTATGGATATTGTAAAATTGTAAAAATATACAAGAAAAATTTAATCAAACACACATTTTTTGAATTTAACAACATTGTTAGATAGAAAGTTATGTATCATATTTTCACACACAGACACACACACGCAGATATATATATATATATATATATATATATATATATATATATATATATATATATATATATGGGTATGTATTGTATAAAATGAGAGTATGAGATCAATAGATTTGTCGTTATATTGACATGATTCTTTTCCATTGATATTATATTCCAAATTATTTCTTACCCGAAATTACTTATTTTTTATCTGTCCCGATTTATGACAAGACTCAATTTTTGATTTCTCTGTTGGTTGTGTTTGCATCATTGATATCGAAAGTCATGATTGTCTGCGTCAAGCGGGTGAACAAAATATATCTATTATATATTCCTGTTAGCATTTATTGTAAAAATGATTAACACACAGAAAAGAAAAAAGGTGAAAAAAAAAAAAAATAAACACTCCATTATTAGCTTAAATTCTGTCGAAAATTGTTTTTTTTTTTTTTTTGCACAATTTTAGGACTCACCATGAGGCAGGAATCAGACATGAGTACTAAAAATAATTGGCAATCAGCCATCAATCTCTTTTTCTCCCACTTACACTCTCACATTCTTTCACGCACCTACCTCTCTCTCTTTCGCTATATATATATATATATATATATATATACACCTCAGTATGTAGTGTTTAAAATTTGCGATATTTTGGGAGGAAGAATGCTCAATATCGGAGATAAGGCGTTTGTAGATATGATCTGGAGATTGCTTAAGGCGCAAATTGACAATTCCCATATATTTGGTTTTGATACCCAGACAGTATCTATCTATCTATCTATCTATCTATCTATCTATCTATCTATCTATCTATCTATGTGTACAGACTAGAACGAAAGACAGTCTGTATATAACTCGATGTGCAAACCTTGATTTTTCTGGTAGTCTTTGTCCACGTGACAATTTAATGCAACATGGAAATAAGAAGCCAAAGACAAAACTATTCATTACCCTAACCGCTTCGTTCCCTGATGAAATTTTATCAAAGTTTGTGTGGAGATTTTATTTACTTGCACCCGTTTAATTTTTACTTTTATTTATATTGTCTTTACGGATGAATTTTATTTATATCTGAATTTTACACACACACACACACACACACACACACACACACACACACACACACACACACACACACACACACATATATATATATATATATATATATATATATATATATATATATATATATAATCTTTTATTGCTTTAGATGAATTGTTGATCAATATTAGATCAAATTTGAATAAGTTGTTTTCGATACCCCCTCTAAAACAGCACTAAATGGAATAGCAAAAACATTACATACACGCACACACACACACACACACAAACACACACACACACACACACACACACACACATATATAATGTTTTCAACAATAATAAATATTGAGAAATTAAAATTTTCAGACACACTGTGTTGTATATTAATATTTTTAGTTTCATTATTTCAAATAGATTCCTCAACTAGTTTCGACCAGCATGGCCATCATGAGGAGAAAAATGTTTTGCTTGTTAGTAGCAGAGAACTAAGGGAATGAATGACATGGTGAAGAAAATGAACTTTATCTGTAGTTTGCATTTGTTTTTTTATCGTTAATTTTGTTGGGTCATTGTGTTGGTCAAACGATCTCTTTTAAGTTGTTTTTGAGATACAGACTGGGTAGACTCATGCTGCTATATATATATATATATATATATATATATATATATATATATATATATATATATATATATACATGACAAAGAAAAATGTTTTCTTGTGACGCGTTTCGTCCTTTACGAATTTATCGGACTAAATTTGGTGAAACTTCCACATTTTTATACATTTTCCCCAATATTGTTTCTATAAAATATATATCCTTATATATATATATATATATATATATATATATATATATATATACAATGAAATCTATTTACCTCTCTCAATTGCTTCCTATTATTCGTAATCTCGAAAGATCATAAGTGTCCCAATGATTTCTTGTTAATCCTTTAAGAGCCAACAACGACTAAATTGTAGGTATTTGGAATCGACACCATTGCTTGAGAAATTGGCAAAAAGTTTAACTTTTTAAGTGAAAAAAAAAAGATGTGATGAATCTTGATATTTATTCTGTAACATTTAGAAATGTGGTAGATGTGATGAATTTTTGCCAAAGATTTTATTGACTTGTTATATTGGGGAAGGAAATTGGAAGAATAGTGGTAGCTGCTTGAATTCATTTATTTTAACAATTACCGTAAATGTACACACACAGACGCACACACACACACACACACACACACACACATATATATATATATATATATATATATGTAGAGACAGAGATAGAGAGACATATGAATAGATCAAACCAAAAAATGATGTTTAGGTTAGTTGATTTTACGATATGTCTATTCTTTTGGGGTTTCTTAATAAAGAACTCAGTCACACACACACACATATATATATATATATATATACATATATAGGATAACTATATAGAAATATTTTTTGTTATATATCAAAAAAGATGTATGACAAAGTAGAAAAAGTTTTAGTGTGACGCGTTTCGTTTTTCGGTAAAAATCAACACTGTAAATTGACTATCAGTTTAACGCCTGGAGTGATCATCATGTACTCAGAAGATAGTTTGAGTCGTAAAACCAACTACCAGGCAATTTTGATTTCCATGTTCATATATATATATATATATATATATATATATATATATATATATATATATATATATATATATATATATATATTTTTCATGGTCGTAAGGTTTAAAAATGGTGTTTTTATTATCGAATATTTATACAAATAAGGAAACGTATTTAAAAATAGATTATATTTATCATTTAGTAACCGCTACGTCTACGAAAATTGCAGTTACAATTCACGCTCTCGAATAGTCTTATTGTGTTACTTATCTATCTATCTATCTATTTATCTATCTATCGCATTTCTTAAATTCTTCTAATTTTTTTCATATTCTGTAACCCCTTTCGTGTTAATAAATTTCTTGCCTTGCTTGTGGTGAAATGAATAAAAAAAAATAATCCACAAATGTTTTATAAGCCGTAAAACATCAAACAACCAATATCGGATATCTTTTTACTTTTGAATTTGAGATGATTTGCTTACTCCAAAACACTCTGACAGAGATGACCACTTCAATCCGATCTTCATACACATTTCTGGGTGACCAACAAGTGGTCGGATAAATAGCTGTTAAAACATCTGTGCGTTAATGTACATTACATGACAATATTAACTCGTTGGACTGGACGCTCTGTAAAGGGCACGCCTTCCTTCATTTGGCGCGTTTGACGATGGTATGCTGAGAGGCGCTCAGGCTGGCCAAACACCTGTAATCTTTACGGTTTTCGTCACCTGAAACATTGTCATTTGCGTGGCTGAGTACGATTTATAAACACAGCACCCTGTTTGTCTTTTATCTCGACTTAATTCAGGGATTTTTTCTTTATTTGTCTCTCTGGTTAGTTTCCCCTCTTCTCTCGCTCACTTTAAACAGGCACACAAAGCAGCAACCCCCTGTGTATATATGTGCCAATATCTTCTTTTTTTTTCTTTTCGATTCGTTATTTTATTACTATAGTGTGTTCTTGTATGGAGTAAAGTGTCATTTTTTTTTTAACCATGCGCTTATTTTTAAGTTTATTTCTGATCACTGTATAGTAAGTTTGGAATTTTAATGTTTTGAACTCCTGGCCGTTCTGTTCTTGGATGAAACACCAACGGAAATCAATGAGTGTATGATGCAAAGACTGTATTACAAATGTCACAGTCATTCCCAACCGAGTCGAATATATATATATATATATATATATATATATATATATATATATATATAATATATATTTTTTTTAAAAATATGATTCCTTAGTTACATAAGAGTTCTCATGTTTCAAAAACGAGAGCCGAAATCATCCAAATAATTATTAAAATTAAGTTGGATTGTGGTGTTTAGTCCCGTTTCATCTTCAAGCGAAATTTTAAGAATAAGCTATCTCTCGGTTTACGTGTGTTTTTAGGTATGGTCCGTTACAGAATTCGTTATTGTGGGAGTGGCTAGACTATTTTCCTTCGTTAAGTGGTCAGAGAGTTAAACAAAAAATATTATTATAATATAAGCTCTACTTCTGTATGGAGCACCGTCTTAAGAACAAAAACAAAAATACTAAGGAACCCCGGATTATGCACCCAACGTGTTTTTTCTATTTTCTGCATACCTACGCACTTATATATATATATATATATATTGTGTATTTAAGCTGCATCTTTTCATTCATGAACGTTTCATTAAATAATATAGACAAGTGTTGTCTATTTATTTTATGTAAAATTTTTTCGTAACGTCTGATAAGTTTAATAACATTATCGTTGAACGAAGAAAGAAATTCACAATATTGATCCATGAGATGCGGTGCGATTTTCGCTTCTAGCGTCTTATATGCGCGTGTTTACCGTTGCTTAGAAATCATCTATGTAAACAATGACAGACTATCATCACTGTCTTGTCCGTATATTGTTTAATATGTTGTAATTGACATCTTTGATAATGGCTTATGTAAGCCGGAAGCTTAGATTGTATTAAAAAAAATATAGATCAATATTGTGAATTTCTTTCTTCGTTCAACGATAATTTTATTAAACTTATCAGACGTTACGAAAAAAAATTACATAAAATAGACAACACTTGTGTATATTATTTAATGAAACGTGCATATATATATATATATATATATATATTTATTAAAGACATTTTTATGTTTAACGTTGTTATTTTATAGATACAAGTATTTAAGCAAATGCTCTGTTTATGATAAACAGTATTAAATAACATTTACCGGCCTGAATGTGCGAGAAATTTTCATAGAAAATATTCGTTCTTTGACAGGATTCGAACCTGCATCCTATACGGAACCGTCATATACGCTGACGTGCCTTACCTCTAGGCTACAAAGAACCAATCGGTAGACAAGGTCGAATTTACTGCTTATAAACTCCAATCTTCCATGAATCTCGTACATTCATAACTGCTCTGGCGTATCGAATGTAAACAAATGACGTCTATAAAAATAACAACGTTAAACATAAAAATGTCTTTAATAAATAAATTGTCGGACCTTGTCCATTTCTTAATATTGTGAGATCAATATAAGATCAATATTGTGAATTTCTTTCTTCGTTCAACGATAATTTTATTAAACTTATCAGACGTTACGAAAAAAAATTACATAAAATAGACAACACTTGTGTATATTATTTAATGAAACGTGCATCCTATATATATATATATATATATATATATATATATATATTTATTAAAGACATTTTTATGTTTAACGTTGTTGAATCCTGTCAAAGAACGAATATTTTCTATGAAAATTTCTCGGACATTCAGGCCGGTAAATGTTATTTAATACTGTTTATCATAAACAGAGCATTTGCTTAAATATCATTATCTATAAAATAACAACGTTAAACATAAAAATGTCTTTAATAAATAAATTGTCGGACCTTGTCCATTTCTTAATATATGACGTCATTTGTTTAATATATTCGATACGCCAGAGCAGTTATGAATGTACGAGATTCATGGAAAATTGGAGTTTAAAAGCAAAATTGTGCCTTGTCTACCGATTGGTTCTTTGTAGCCTAGAGGTAAGGCACGTCAGCGTATATGACGGTTCCGTATAGGATGCAGGTTCGAATCCTGTCAAAGAACGAATATTTTCTATGAAAATTTCTCGGACATTCAGGCCGATAAATGTTATTTAATACTGTTTATCATAAACAGAGCATTTGCTTAAATACTTGTATCTATAAAATAACAACGTTAAACATAAAAATGTCTTTAATAAATAAATTGTCGGACCTTGTCCATTTCTTAATATATGACGTCATTTGTTTACATTCGATACGCCAGAGCAGTTATGAATGTACGAGATTCATGGAAGATTGGAGTTTATAAGCAGTAAATTCGACCTTGTCTACCGATTGGTTCTTTGTAGCCTAGAGGTAAGGCACGTCAGCGTATATGACGGTTCCGTATAGGATGCAGGTTCGAATCCTGTCAAAGAACGAATATTTTCTATGAAAATTTCTCGGACATTCAGGCCGGTAAATGTTATTTAATACTGTTTATCATAAACAGAGCATTTGCTTAAATACTTGTATCTATAAAATAACAACGTTAAACATAAAAATGTCTTTAATAAATAAATTGTCGGACCTTGTCCATTTCTTAATATATATATATATATATATAGTGTGTGTGTTTATATATAGATATACCAGTTGAATATGAAGGATATGTAAAAAATTGTGTTTCTATTCAGTTTTTCTTTTAAGAATGCTAAGAGATTCTAGGAATGGTCCGCAGTGTTAATTTAACAGTGGAATTAATTACAACTGACTGAGAAACACACACACACACGCAAACGAACGCACACACTTACATGTATGGCTAAAGAATTGTCCGAAATGGGTTCGGACAATAGTCACTGCGGACACTTTTTTTACATTCCCTTTTCCAAACCAAAGCGAAATATTTAAGAATGCTAGAAGAATTTTTAAAAATACGAGAAAATTTCAATAAAAATTCATTAAATATTTGTTGTCTCTCATATTTAACGAAATATGCTTGCAGCCCAAATACATACATACATACTCACACACGCACACACATATATGTTTGTATGAATATCTAATATTATGTGTGTACACTTTAATCGATGATAATGTGCAATCATTTGTTTTTCCCATCTGATATTATCAATCCAAATGTATTGCTGTCATATGGATTTACATATGACATGGTGTATAGATCCAGTATTATAATAAATCTTGTTGGTCCGTCATTATGTCTGTCACCTTTTAAAACATCATTTCTCACGTCCTGATAAACGAAAACTAAAAAGCGTCTTGTCTTTCTTCACGCAATTCACTTCGTCCTAACGCGACCAGAAGTGCCATCTTTTATGTTCCTAACGTTTGTATTTCATTTTCCTTTGCGCCTTTTAATTTCAAATTAATGGGGAAAAGATCGTTGCGAGAACCTAAATCCCTTGACATTGCCCCCCCCCCCTCATACTAAATTGCAAGTACGGAATGAGCCTTTACGTGTTTCGGAGGTTTCAAAACGCCTATCAGTCGAAGAGAGAAGTTTTGCCGTTCTTCATACCGAGCAATTGACGCTATTGTTACTTTCGCTGATGGCTTGTCGGGTAGTTTCGTCTCTCCTGGGCCTGGACGAGATTGGGATGAGGCAGAGTCAAGCATCTGGAATGATCAGTTTTCTTTTATTTCATTAGGGTCAGACATTGAGGTTAACCGCACCATATGGAGTTTTTTTTTTCGAAGATAAAGAAAGGACTAAATACAAGGATATTATTATTGGATAAGGTTATAAATTTTTTATTTGAAATCACGTAAGAAATTCATCAGGGGAGAATAATTTCAAAATCATAGCCATGAGGAAAGTAAAAAATATAATAATAATAATAATAATAATAATAATAATAAAAATAAAAACCGAAAAGGAAAAAAAAAAACTTGCCTACTAAATGATATGGCTTGCACACCGGACAAGAACATAGCAACCAAGGAATTTGACAAAAACTACCTAGAAATCGAAATAGAAAAAAAAATGTGGAAATTGAAAACGAAGAATATTACCAGTCATAGTAGGTGCGCTTGGAATGATAAAAAAGGAACAAAACAATACATTGAAAACATACCTGGAAATCCCAGCTTAAGAGAAATGCAAACAATTTTCTTGATAAGTACAGCCCACACACTAAGAAGAACTTTGTCCATGGAACGCTAGTGAAGTTATGGTAATTAGAAAAACAAATCATGAAATGTAGACATAACAACACACCATTACCTGCCTTAGGTCTTCCCACAGACTTGGTAGGTAGTGTGACCATTGCAGAAGTTGAAATATCTTGATGATGATGATGATAATAATAATAATGAATAATACATCAGATATGACTATCATGGCTTCTGATCTTAATTGGAGGAACGTATTAACATATACAGATCTGGCATTAAACAAATTGGTATTAACACACACACACACACATATACACACACATACACACACACACACACACATATATATATATATATATATATATATATTACAAATATAAATTAAGTTACCTCCCTTTGATAACGTTAATCTTTGAATTAAGTATAACCGAACGAGTTCATACGTGTATATTCTTATAACAGAACGCGTTTCATGAGCATTTACAAAAAAATCACAACTATCAATACATTAATTTTTGCCTTAACAATTAACCCCTGAAGATGATCTTGGATGAGATTGATAGTATTTGAGAAAATAAAAGAAATGAAAAAAACTACCTATAGTGTAGACAGTCATGGCGATGACAGGTTATTCCATTACATTAATGTATTTATCTATAAACTAAGACAAATATTAAAATAGCATCTAAATATACATGTAATACATACACACACACACACACACACACACATATATATATATATATTTAAAACGAAAGATAATCCACGTGTGCTTCTTATAATATGTATATTTAATATGCCGGTTAATTAAATTTGGAGAATAAAAGGACAACAAAATGATTGATGATATTTGCGCAGATCGTAAGAAAATAAGAAGACGCAGATCGGAATTAAAATATATTTTCAAAATAGAATTACACATTAAAGGATTAAACAGGGATTTCGTTTTAAGCAGAGGATATAGTTTCCACAGGGAGTCCTCTAAACAACAAACTCAACATTCCCTGGAAGAATGTGTCCCAATTCTTTGTTTATTTCTCGTCTCATTGATAAAGGACGCAGGCGTGTACGAAAATTCCAACTTTAAAATCTTTCTCTTCGTGTTCAATTTACTCAATGTAGTGAATATTATCATTTTATTGCCAATATTGTTAATCATTTTGTTACTCAAATTTCTTCAACAGGCATATATATATATATATATATATATATATATATATATATATATATATACAAAGAATAATCACACATAGAATTAATCAGAAGTATTAATGCGATTATTGGCGACATCCATCGCTAAAACATAATATATGCATTAAAATCCTGTTCATCCATAGTGCGAGTTTTGATCCTTGAAGAAAAAACTTGTTGTTTGTAGTTTTTCAGTTTATTTGATGTTAAAATGCTAGTACTTACGGATAGACTTCCATACATCATCAGGCATGTGTTTTTTTCCTTATAAAATCAAAAACTTGAGACGATATATCTGTATGTCGACCGAAAGATGTTTTTGAATATCTGCTATTATTGAAAGATCACGGAACGTGCAAAGACGCAACGCTAAGTTTTTTCAAAATTTTATGAGAATTTTATTTAAATTTTTTCTTGTGATGTGTTAAATCCACGTATTCTATTTTTACAAGTGTATTCAGTTTTTATGTCTAAGTATATAGTTAAATAATATAGTGTAATGTCTTAGTAGTAGTTTTTTATAGGAATTTTTATGTGTATCGATAGTTTTTAATAAAACATAAAACATTAGGCAGCATATGATTTACATACAAAGAATAATCACACATAGAATTAATCAGAAGTATTAATGCGATTATTGGCGACATCCATCGCTAGAAAAACATAATATATGCATTAAAATCCTGTTCATCCATATATATATATATATATATATATATATATATATATTAAATGTATGTGGAGTCGATATCAGTCAGTCATGTGCCATGTGTGATACACGCGTAGGCGATCATGTATATAGGCAGATTTTTTTCCCGTAGTAGGTTGCTATTTCTTTCTGCGATAGACCAGTTGCTATCCAAGGCCATATTTATATTTATAACTGAGGAGGGGGAGAAGAAGAGGATTCATAAGGGCATTAGCACGTATATGAAAGTAATGGATTCGACTGGAATTCTAACTCGGCTCTCCGATTCCTCAATCCGAGTCGTTCTCCACCGTACCTCGATATATTATTTTAAAACAATTGTAATTACGGGTTTAATATTTTTGTCATCAATTCGAACATATTTTATGTTCCTGCTTCACACCCACAAATTAAATGGTAAGGATAATTGTGTAATTAACCGTTCCCATCAAGTATTAATCATAATAAATTTCAAAGATTGTTCTGAAAAGTTCCATACCAGATTAAGAAATCCTTTTTAAAAATCGGATGATTGTTTAGATATTGGGAAGTAAGTTAGATCGATCACTGTTCAGCCTGAAACTTGTATCTATAAATTCAAGATGTGACTTTTTTTTTCTCTTTCAACCAATCTGATCGTAAAATTCCGCATCTTCATTTTTTTTCTTCTTTTTATTGCAGGTCTTGGTCATGAAGGTTTGGATCGCCCTGGTGACATGATCGATCGTGACACTTACCAAAACGCCCCAAGGCAAAAACGAATGAGGACATCTTTTAAGCATCACCAGTTAAGGACCTTAAAATCCTATTTCGCCGTTAATCACAATCCAGACGCAAAGGATTTGAAACATTTAGCCCAGAAAACTGGGTTGACGAAACGGGTTCTTCAGGTAAGTACTTAAACTGCAAATCAACTAAGATAAGTAGATATTTAGTTTTGGATTTTTCATCTTTGGTACCTCGATTTTAGGAATTTAAGCGCAATACTAGATTGGCAGATAGGTCTCATCATTTTACAGTTGCAATTGCTACATGTAGCTATAAGTTCTATTCTAACATTTTGTTTTCCTCTCGTACTTGTGGAGGTCTCATTTTTTTCTCTCTTGCTTGTGGAGGTCTCTCCCAACTTCTTTCTTTTCAGTCACCTTTGATTTTCAAAAGGGTTAATGCATTGTCAATCGTTATATTCTGTCTTTCTAGTTTCATTTCTTTTATTGTTCTCTCGCCTTAAGATTAGTTTCCCTTTACTTGTATTCTTTCATACTTATTAATCAATTGCTTCTTAGTGGATTTATTGCCTTGCTTGTGGTGAAATGATTAAAACAAAAATTAAAGACCAAGAAATTTACTAGATCGGTAATTGAAATATATCGTATTTATTCAGGCAAAATTGCGATTTGACCGTGTTAAAGTTAATGTTAACTCCGTTTGTTAGAAATCAATTTCTTTTCAGTGAGATTGTATAATGAATTATCGGTGTACATTACAAATGAGAACAAGAAAATCGTTTATACGTCACATAACATTGTCTTCAACCTCGGAATTCCGAGCCTGAACCTTACACTGAAAATGGTAACGTCTCAGAGAGTCTGCCCATCTCCTCTTTGGAGTGGGTGCTTATATATCTGCCTGTACGGTTATTTCCCACGGTTGTATATCAAGTGCAGCTGAGCTAATCACATGGATCTGCACTCAGCGGTTAGGCGGACACCTCATATCGACCCTGCAACTGTCTTCTTTTATAGTCTTGTGTGACCGTGTAACGACTCGTATGACCGTGCAATATCATCTGAAGTTAGCCACATACTACAACTGCTTTCTTTGCCGCTATCCAGCACCTCTGTCATTGAAAATAGATAAATAGAAATAATCCTATTTCAAAGTTTGTGATCTTCTCATCGAAGAGAGCTCTACAGTCCCGTGTCAAGTTCCCCTGGCTTCTTTAGGTACGCGCTTGGTGTTGCCATTGTCATTCTCACATCAGGTTACATGGTACCAGTTTCATGGAAGCCATGGCGACATGAAAAGGTAATCCAAGTGACAAGATAGCTTCTTCATCGAATCTCGAGAAGGCGAACTATATGTCTATCGTTTTTGTAAACACCATGGAATTGATTATAGGATTATAATTTGCTTGTTCATCCCCTCGATCGGGGAATATGAAGGGGTATTAAACTGAGTCCTTTATAATCAATTGAGGTTAATTGTTAGTATTCATCTCCTAAGTAGCAAGATAGAAATACAGTATATGTTTATTTTCTGATGTTACATATAGAGGAATATACAAGTAACCCTCTCTGATATAGAAATGCTATTATAATTTCAATCTGATTCCATGTGGACATTTTCATTCAAAGAATCAAGAATTCTTTACTGCTGACTGGTGACATGAGATCTCATCGTTCCTGATTCTTGTGATTAGGAATCGCAATTTCCATTGCAATCAGGCAAGAAACAACAAAGCTTAACTCACTCACAGCCACAAGACGCACTGATGCATATTGTGGAATGTTGTGGACTGCCTTTGATGCACATGTGCGTCCATTCTATGGTTTTATCTAAAGCATCATCAAAGCTCTAAACTAAGTTCATGCCTCGAGACGTCGAGCGCAGGATGTATTTCATTGTTATGTTGTATGTTGCAAAATAGGAATCTTCTGCCATGAAAGTTACTTCGCTATGTCTTTCTAGATACGATTTATAATTAGAATCTATCTTGTCCTTTTATAAGTTCATCATTCGTCTTTGCATTGGACATTGATGACACATCTTGTCTGGCATTTCTGCTTTATATCTAGAGATTCTTGAGAGAAACTAAAGAATCAGTAATGTCATCGGCCCTGATCTGGCATCCCGGTTTCAGTCACTTTCCCGTCACCGTAACGTAGCTTCCCTGCGCCGTTTCTATAAGCATTTTTACTATAATTCTTCTGATGAGCTTTCTTTGATGTCCACCTCGACTTCACAGTACTAGATTGACACCAGGTCTCATAATTTCACTAATGAAATTGCAAGATTTAACCGTCAGTTCAAGGCTAATAGTTTCCCCTCTGCACTTGTCGAAGGTGGAACTCTCTTCAAGCTTCTTGCTTCCTCTCAACTAGGATCTTTAAAAATTTAAATGCAACATCAATCGCCATTTTCTACCTCCTTTGAAACCTTTTTTTTATTGTCCTCACTGTTTCTTTCACTCCTAGTTAACCTTGGTGTCTTAGTGGCTTCCTCGCCTTATTTGCAGTGAAATGAGGAGAAGTGAAAGTGTTAAATGTTAATATCTGTTTAGAGACCTCAGCCATAAAAAGAGAAATAATCTAGACCTGAAGTATTAAAGGTGACCATTTTATATTATTTAATGAGGATCATTTAGATGATCTAAAAATAACTATAGAAAATAATGACATAAGGTTTTAATTTTCCATAGTGTATCAAAGAAAAGGCCAGAAAGGAAATTCCCATCAATATTTAAATAATTTCAAGAGTAAGTATTAGGTTAAGTAGTGTCGAATGTTTCCTTATACAGGAACGGTTAATCACACCGTTTCCTTTGAGATGTTGCCATGAGGATGTTGAACAGATTTAAGCCTTTAAATATAATCATGACCATTTGAAGATGACGTTCTTTAGCCTTAAATGTGATCATTCTGGCTATTTGAAGATGACATTTTTAAACAAGTTTTGACACTGGATCAATCTGCCATTTCATGGAAATAGGAAGGCCTTTTTACCGTAGAAATCCTCATATTATGGATATTTCCTGAATGTGCAGATCTTCCAGTGTTTTTACCACACTTATTGCGATGTATACCTGTTTCTACCCTCTTCTTTCAATGGAATCTTATTGCAAGGTAACTGTTTTCAAGCTACCAGCTTTTATCTTTATTAAAGATATACAAACAATAATTGCCATATAACTCTGACGATACCAAAGAAATATACGTGTCTTTCACTTAGTTTCAGCGAGTAAACGTTTTGTTTAATTAAGATATAATTTATATATACATTTTTACAGATTTTCTTTCTTTTTTTTTTTACAGGTTTGGTTCCAAAATGCTCGGGCAAAATTTCGACGAAATTGTCAAAAACAAGAACAGGATAGGGTGTCCGGTGGTGGTCAACCAGGCCAGAATCAGTCAAGCCAAGGCAGTGACAAAAGCGGGACCGCTGACAGTCAAGCGATAGGCGAACTCTCAAACGAACGTTCACCAGGATTGTCAGACATCAGCTCGGCTCCATCTTTGTCTGATCTGCAAGGAAGCTGTCTTGACTCGGATCATTCAAACAGTCTCTCGGATTTTTTCACGGGAAATATTGCGTCACTGAGTTCCTGAAGATTTAAAAATATATTAATTAAATGGTTTTGAGGCGAAAAAAGAAAACACGAAAAAGAAAATGAAGAGCAACAAAATGGACATATATAGATTATAATAATGACGTCACAGACATTATGGCGGTTCTGACAAAGCAGACGATTACAGAAATCTTTATTTAAAAAAACGAACTGCAATATTAATATGAGAAAAAATGGCTGAAATTTGTAAAAATCTAAAATCAAAATAAACTAAAAAAAACTATGAAAATTCTAAAGAAACAGCGAAACGGTTTTATAAAAAAAAAATATTGATATATGAAAACATTTCTCTCGTTCTCATCGAGAAAAAGGACGCATGCGCGAACACACAGAAGCGTATATAAATACGTACAAAGATAAATGCACACACAATTACAGTCATGTATATAGTTAAAAATACTCTTGCTAAATGTCAAACATTCTAATTTGACTTGTGACTTTAAATGAACCTAAAACATTCACGTATACAAGAGACATATATGTATCTATATGTACGAGGACACCTTCAAGGTAGAGTAGGTAGCGTATCTGGCTTTCATGGTGACAACTTGTTTTAGTATCCGAATTCTGCTAAGTCTAAATATACACAGACACTAATAACGCAACACCAAATTGGAGTGAACTAATATTGTACTGTTTTCCTACCAATCGGCACATTGTATGTGCTTTTAAAATCTCCCATACATACAGATTAATACCACAACAGTTAGCATATACATACATACATACATACATACATATATATATATATATATATATATATATATGGATAGATAAAAATCTGTCGGATTGATAAATAAAATCTATTACCGTAGAAAATTACTTTGTTTATGTTTGGATACAAAACTTAAATTTAATCCGAGAAGGATTTCGCTAAAAGGCACATTTCAAACCTTCCTTCGAGGCTGTTCCGTTGCTGAGTCGGTTAAGACACATCAAATCTAACGACGGCGTTCCCTCTGTGCAGAGGTTCGAATACTACCGGAAAGCGGACATTTTTCATTAACATGATTTCTCGAATATTCAGAGACGGGCATAAATAATGATACTGTTTAATAAATAAATAGAGCGTCTACGTAAATATGAGTATCCACTAAAAATAACGTTTAAAGTGTTGATAGTTTAGTGGGCTGCTGGATCATGCAATTTAAATTATGTAAGGCGAAAGCTTAGATAGGATTAAAATATATACATCAATATTGTGATTTTCTTTCTTCCTTTAATGATATTAAGCTTATCAGACGATATGAAAAGAATTTACATAAGTAGACAAAACTTGTTTATATTATTTAATGAAACATGTATGAATGAAAAAATGCTGCCTAAATACATACAATTTATATATATATATATATATATATATATATATATATATATATATATATATATATATAGTTTATGCAGAACTAGGTAATCCGTATGGGTAGACCCAAAGAGGATGATATCCAGAGAGCTCAATGTAAATTCAGAGCAAATATATTTGAATAAAAACAGACCACTTTAAGGTTCCATGTAATAAATTATTTCAAAAACACTTTTAAAGGGCTCTGGATCATCAGACTTTACTTCCAAAAGTTACTTTTTTTTCATTTCAACTTTTGAAGTAAAGTCTGATGATCCAGAGCCCTTTAAAAGTGTTTTGGTGAAATAACTTATTACATGGAACCTTAAAGTGATATGTTTTCATTCAAACAAATTATATATATATAATATATATATATATATATATATATATATATATATTGACTGAAGATTGCGTTCAAGCATGAAACAGACTGTCGCCACTTGGTGTTGTCTTCAGTGTCCACGTTTATATTTACACACGCTCTATTCCTGATATTGAACATTTTATATATGAATATAGCATACTGTAAAACTACATTTTTATCACACACTCACACGTGTTTGTGTGCGTGTATATATATATATATATATATATATATGAAGCAGTGTTTGGGTTATAATCCGGCGGAAAAGTAAATATATAAAACAATTTGGAAAACTTGTTTTTGACATGTTTCGCCTATGAATTGGCGTCATCAGGAAATTGTGTTTTATTCAGCAAACTCTAAATAAACGAGACAAAACGTGATTAGTGTTGAGTGTTATAAAAATGAGATATTAACCAATTTCCCCTCATTTTTTATTATGTATATTTATAAATTTAAGGTTTTCGCATTCTACATTGTGTCAATATTAATTTCGTAAGAACATCGATATAGCCCGTTCGTATATAAAACATTACTAATCGTAAACATCTCCAATTAAAAAGGAAAGAATATACGTATTGGGACTTAAAACTTAACACACCCAGTGCGATCCTACATAAACGATAACTTCGTGATCACAATTTTTTGGAAAATGCCGTTTTGATAAAAAAAAAAATAGATATAATTTAAACACACGATGATATATTGGAAATGTCCCTTATGGTGATTAATATACAGCCGGGTTATTTCAATCTGTCGCTTAATCTTACAGAATTAGTACAAAATGGGGGATACGTAAACTCTAAAAATTACAAAGTTTCATCTATCATCCCTAGACTTTACGAATATAAGCGCAGTACTAGATTGGCAATTAGGTCTCATCAATGTACAGTTAAATTGTCTAGATGTAACTGTAAGTTCTATACCAATAGTTTTTTTTTTCTCTCGCACGCCTTGTTAGTAAAAATCTCTTCCGGCTCCATGCTTTCTAACCAACTTTGATATTTAGATAAATTTAAATACAGTGTTAATCGTTATCTTCTGTCTTTTTGATTACCCTACTTTTATAATGTTTCTTTTATTTATTCTTTCACACTCAGTAATCTCCTTGTGTCTTAGTGGTTTTACTGACTTCCTTGAGGTAAAAAGATTAAAAGAAACAAAAAAAAAAAAAAAAAAATGAGCTCAATTTTAATTTTTATAAAGAAATATTTAAAGTAAAAATCAATCCTTCATATATCGAACATGATTCCCGTTTTGTCTCGTTTATGTAGATTTATAATGACGTCAATTTGTAATGACGCCGGATCATCAACGAAACATATCAAGTTAAAAGCCTCCGACATTTTCAAAATTCTAACAGTTATATAAAGATATAGTTAAATAGATTTCCAGAAATTATGCAATTTGGCATGAACATGTTTATGACACAAAAATAAAATCCTAAACTTATCTCTCATCTTTCTTGCTTAACCAGGCCCCGTTAAACGCTGATCGGGGTTAAAATAAGTAATATATGCTCAACATCATAGGCGATCATTCCATGCAGTTCATCATTGAACTAAGCGGTCAGTCGCTGATGCTTGAGGCTTCCTAATAGTAAAGTGCAAAGAGACTTGTGCAATATTTGTCTCCAGTCCGTACACACGCGTCACTTCCGTTTTAAACAAGGACTTTTGCTATATTCGAATGGACGTGCGGATACTTGCATCAAATTTGAATGCGTCAGTGGCTATCTTGACCATGAAAGTGTCTTTTTCGTCATAACGCATCCTCTGATCACGTGCTTGCAATATCTGCGGCGTTCAACTAAATACACCTCTCCCAACGTACATCTACGTATGCAAGTTAACTTTCCTTGCTTACAAATGCATTTGTCAAATGTTGCACACATCACTTTAAATATGTGGATAGGGATATACACCTATATAAGCCTGCTTATTGGTTGAAATAGTTCCGTATTTTCCAGAGGCGTTTGCAATTTTTTGTTGGAACCTACGTATAAGCCAGCATTTCAATTACTTATTTTAACGCAAGCGGAAATTATTTATTTGGAAGATTGTGTTGCGTAATTCTTCTTATCCCCATGGACATTAAGTTCTGTCTACAGAATTGTCTTCATGGATATACATACAATATGTACGCGAATATGTTACTTTGTTTGGTATCATTTTAAGAAACTTTAACAACGAACACTTATTTTTATTCGATATCATTTGTCGCAAGATGAAAATATTCAAATTATTTACACCGCACCGATTTTTTTCTTAGCCAAAATTATGAAATAAGGAGATAAGCGACACAAGACGAAACACAAAACAATGGTCGAAACGTATAATAAATAGAAGAAATAAAGGAAATTAAATTAATGGCTACAGTTATTATTATTATTATTATTATTATTATTATTATTATTTTTTCCACAGGTATCTAGTGATTATTATTGGAAATCATTCACCTTCCTCCGTCTTAATATCTGGTGGTATCAAGAGCGTTTGGAATATACACACCCGCAGTTGTATCATCCAAAACTGTTGAAATTGATCTTGTTTTTTATTTTATAGGAAGAGAATCTCCACCTCATGTCTTTTGTACAACTTCAGGTTACTGGGTTTTGAATTCAGGCTTGTTATTTTCCTAGACTGGTTGTCAACCACAGCTACAAAGCCGAATCTGCGCTGCTATTCAATCTAGGGCTAGTTGGGGGTGGAAGAAGACATGCATTCGTTATTTACCCAAGGGTATTTGTGAAACAACTTCGACTGAAATTCGAAACCAACTCTTGCTAAATTTTGTCCATGAAGCAAATCTTTACAAGTGAAAGGACGTATCCGTAAATCTCGAACAACCTTTGCTTGTAATCTCATCGACGTTATTTTGAATTGCCTTTCTTTCGTTCCAAATTCTTTCTTTATTGGTTTTTTTTTTTCTTTACTTGTTTCTTATATTTCCCAACAGGAGTACTAGTGGTTTACATTGAAAGTTAACTGACAGCAATTCGTCTTAGGTGTCCAGGACTCTCCTCAGTAGCCGAGTTATTTTCAACATGGCCTTATGCAGGATGGTTCCACCACCTCCCCTAATTTTAATTTCTTCCAATTTTTTCAATAGACAATTTGGGATTCTCCTTTATATTCGCATTATTATTATTATTATTATTATTATTATTATTATTATTATTGATGTTGTTATTGGGCGAGAGAGCAGCATACCAGCACACCAACAAATTGAAGTTGGCCTATAAATTTATAAAGCCCAGTATACGCACGAT